GCGAGTACAACCGACGTAGAATAAGATTGCCGTAAATGTTTCTGACAAAGTACATAAAGGTAATTGTAGTCGTGGTCACCGCACATTGATTTACACGTAAACGTATGTGTCGTACATCATTCGTCTCTGATATCACAATGATGCGACATGCGTTTGCATGAAATTGCGTTGACCTACGACTACGATTAGCGTTTACGAACTTTCTTGGAAACAGTAACGATCATCTTTCTGCATCGGCCCGTGAATGCCTGCGAACGAGAAAAGTGACGCCAAAATGTGCGAGTGAACGAGCGAGTGTATTGGTGTGAAAACGTGCGAATGAACGTGCGAGAGAAAGAATGGAAGGAAATAAGAGAGTGAAACAAAATAGAAAATGAGAGAAAGAGAGAGAGAAATCGTTATTTATTGAAACGCTCTGGGACAGAGTCCCCTCAAGCGTTGTGACATATACAGGAATAAACATAATAAATGTACAAGCAAATTCTATAAAATGTGAACCGGAAAAATAATAAAAGGACAAAGCAAGAAAAATAAAGAGAAGATAAAATAAAATAATGATGCGCAGATAAGGCAGTGCCAAGTGAACAGTCAAAGTACAGGTAAACACTGAAATATGATCACATGCTTAAGAGCTAGAACCACTAATGATTGCAAGGTAAGTGGCCGTAAAGGCCGCGCTTGAATGTGTCAAGGAAAGGCGCATTTTTAATGTGGGATGGTAACCCGTTCCAAAACTCCACCGCGGAGCACTTAAAGGAGCGCTTGTAAAACTCCGTACGGCAAAGCGGCAGGACAAGAGCATCCCCAGAGGCCCTCGCTTCCCTCCGCGTTACATCCATTCTCCGCTCAAAATCACAAAAAGCAGCACCAGGTATGCTTCCGTTCAACAGTAAGAAGGTAAGACACCCGACAAAATAGAGGTGCCTTGTTTTGATCTTAAGCCAATGCAACCTCTCAAAATAAGGTGTTATGTGTTCATCTCTCTTAGCCTGGTAGATAAATCGAACACAGGAGTTGAGCGATTTTTGAAGGCGGAGATTCTGCTTGCCAGAGATGTCAGTAAGCGCAGAGCTGCAGTAATCGTACAGCGGAATCACCAATGACCCTATCAATCTTATCCTGGTCGGGATCGGCAGCAATTGTCTGCAGAGCTTGAGCTGGTGCAGGCAAGCATAGACTTTGGCCGTGGTCTTTATCACATTTATCACATGCGTGTCCCATGAGAGATTGCTTGATAGGTGAATGCCGAGATATTTTACAGTGTCCTCGTATGGTATGACACTGTCATTTATATAGATTTCAGGCAGCTCGCGAAAATCCAGTGCGTTGACAGATCTGGGAGTGCCCATGATCATGGCTTTTGTCTTTCTCGGGTTCAGAGACAGCCGATTTGAGCAGGCCCAGTTTACTATGCCGCAAATGTCCACATTTACCTTCCGTATAGCCTCTCGCAGATGTCTAGGCTCCGCATGCAAGTAAATGAGCAAATCGTCAGCGTAGAAGCCGTATTTACAAAAGGATAAAGCATTAAACCACACAGATACAAAACGAATAAGAGTGGTCCCAGAACAGAGCCCTGAGGCACGCCAGATAAAACGGAGCTCTCCGTCGAAGTTTCCCGAGTGACGGGATCACGGGCGGCCTGTTTCCTGTCATCCAGGTAGGAGCACAGTCAACGCAGTACCGGACAGGAGAAACCGAGGTTGCGGAGCTTATCAATTAGTAGAAGGTGATCCACACAGTCAAAGGCCTTTGAGAAATCAA